GCAAGTTTGAGAGTGATTGAAGGCTACAACACGCAGGCAGCCTAGTCATCACCACCACCACAGTCTTTTCGTTCTCAACCATCACCCCCACTTTCACCATATTTCACCATTACTCCCTCCTGATTTATCACCAACAATTGAACCTCGTCGCCTGTACTGGCTCTACATTCAGTATTAACTTTGCACTTTTCACCATACCCTTTCCCTTCACCACAAACTACCCAACTTAATATCACCATCCTGTCACTATTTCCTCTACCGCCACATTTTTGTCGTCTCTCATAATCAACACACTACTATCACCCCCTTCCTTTATTATCATTATCGCCTTCTTCACCATCTCTCTCATCATCACCCCCAGCATGACGGCCGTGCTGGCAGTAGAGTCGACAGGATCACGACATAGCAGTGAAAGTGTCTCACAGCTCCGCATTCCTCACACCACCAATCCCCCTCAACTGGCTTGCATGTCATCACCAACAACCTCCCCGTCAACTGTCTCTCCCCTTCACCTCATCCCCGTCAACTGTCTCTCGCCTACACCACTCCCACCACTACGACTCCATCACCAGCTCATCCATAATCTCGTCAGCTGTACAACTGCCCTTTAAACTGTCTCCACTCTCCACAGTTTACCTCCTCAAACAACTAACTACCTGAGCACCTGGGTAACAACAAGAGGCACCATCACAATAACTGTCCAGGTGATATAGCTGACAACACTACCAGTAGCCCGACACACCTGTAGGTTTGTCACCTGGCTAAATATGAAGCTCCACCTAACAAACTGCCCCAGCAGGTGGTGATTCTGCCGTGCAACGTGCAGGACCTCAGGATCCTCTAAATGGGTGATCCATCAGCCACAAGGCTAACAAGGTTGAGTCAGCAGCACAACACAACACCCGCGTCACCCACCCCTCCCTCCCTCGCCTTACAGTGGCTCCTGCACCTACAGTATTGTGTGCAACATTTACACACATTTAACAAATACCCTCTCTATTGGTCTATAATGCAACCACCTCTGTCTCGGTGACACCACTTGTTGCAGACCAGGCGACGTGTGTTAACCAATACGTTGACGTACTTGATCCACAGATTCAGTGCGCCTCTTACTGAAGAAACTCCGATAGAAAGTCTCATAATAGAAGTCTATGTGTTGTACTGTTATACACTGGTGAGAAGAGAGTATAAAGTATCATTAGCTAGTGTGGGTGGCGCCGTCTCCCCAGCACTTGGTGGTGGACAAGGTAAAGACATTTCCTGGTGGCGGCTCGGTCACGGCTGGGCTGAAGGCTGCACCACAACCTCGCTACTTTGACCTCTCTTTCTCGCTAATCTACCTCCTAACACTTTTAATGGTGTATAAGTACTGATCCTTTCATTAGCGTGGTGTGGTCCTCCGGGGGTACAGGCGGACACAGTTAACAGCTTTGGTAGGGAGTGAGGGTGAAGGGGAGACGGGGCTCTGCTTGGCTGACGCTGAGCGAGATGTACGAATAGTTGGTCGGGTTCTCCCAGAGCATTGCTGTTTTTATCCATGTACACAACAATCTCTTCAGTCTGTTATCTATGCTTCTGTTTCCATTGTTCTACGGAGGCGACGAGTAAAAACGCTTTTAGCCAGTGATCTCTTTGATTCTGTTCCCTTTCTTCCTCACGTTTATACAAGCTTGAACTAAAAATACAACATTCTGAAAAAGCGAACTCTCTTTAATGCTTACAGTACACTCACATATCTACTTTGTGGCGATCCTCACCAGGGTACTACTACAGCATCTTGGTACACATACTCCTGTATGATGTCAACTGTAGTGATGAACAAGTCCCTAACGGAACAACCACCCTTGCCAAACTTCCCAGTGAGGCAATTTAGCGGTATTTCCCATTCGCACTCGGGCACACCACACAAACATTACACTCGACTCTTACTGAGAAGTCTGCGACGGTGAGCCAAGTGTAGTTCAACAGGAAAACATGTGGCGTCAACCCGTGTTTCTTATAAGAGACAAAGGCAGTGGCGCAACCTGCTGCCCGAGGCGAGTACAGTAAAGCAGTGGTGTCGTATCTGTCAAAAGACTAAAATTACCGAAAATGTTACGAGAAGATATGCTCTTTGTCCGTCCAAAGTCAGAACACAAGGTCATGTATGTAATACAGCAGGTACGGGTGCGTGATTCGAGGACACTGAGGTGGTGCTGCCTGGGGACGTTGAACACTGTATCACGTTTGCCAGAATAATAATAATACCAGGTAATAATAACAACAATACCCAGGCTCGTGTTTAGTTATTCTGCCGTACCAGCTACATCCACTGTCTGCATATGGACACCTTTACCTCATGGAGAACTAGTCAATGGCCTCTCTCTCTCTCTCACACAGAGCTAGAAATACACGGTGCGGTGTTTGTAAGTGGCAGGCTATCTTGGAAGTCCCCCAGAATAGCTCCCATCTCGGGAGGTCAAGAGCATATCACAGGTCAAGAACAAGGAGCTGAAGAACACAACGAACAGAGAAGGACAAGGCCGTGACGTGTGGGCAGGATGTTGCATGACGCCACGAATAACACAGAGTAATGAAGAAGATATTAAGAATAGCAACTTGTTAGATTTTAATAACCCTCGTCTACCACCAACAATGTTGTTACAACCCTCGTCTACCACCAACAGTGTTACAACCCTCGTCTACCACCAACAGTGTTACAACCCTCGTCTACCACCAACAGTGTTACCAAAACCCTTGTTGACCCATCCCCATCTAACCAACGCTGTCATCTTATCTCAAACCTCCACTATCTCACTGTCCAGTCTCCCTCCATCCCCGGTTCTTCCTGTGACAACGCTGTTTATGAGGGGACAATCACAACACCTGTCTCTGAACACAAAATCAGAACTTCTGCCAACTGTGTGCATATGAAAATCATTGTGTTGATTTTGTTTGTGTGAAAATGCGTGCGTATTTGTGTGTAAGTGAGGGTGTGGGTATGCCTGCGTTTGTTCTTATAATAGTATATGCCTGTGTTCATGCGTATATGTGGACAGGCATGTCTTTCTGCTTGTGTGCAGGCATCTGATAATACGTGTGTGCGGGGGGGGGGGTACTGGTATAAGACGAGTATATTATTATATAAGCTCTGGATTTGCTGCTGATCACAAACAATGCATCAGGAGGTGATGACCTATAAGAGCCACCACCACACCAGCGATGCTCAATACGTTCCCACTGCCAGTGTGGTGGTGTGGCGTGCCAGCTGGAGTCCCACCTTCTCACCCCAACCCACCTTCACCACGCCGCTCTCTACGTACTGACACTGGTACACACAACACCCCCGCCCCTTCACCACCTCACACCTCATGCTCTCCTACACAATGGCCGTGTTTACCACCGTTTACGGATTTGAGTTTTTATGTGAGCAGTCAGTGTTCAATATATATTTTATGAAGGGAGAGAGAGATTAAGAGTTAGGGGAGTATAAGAGGGGAAAGATTAAGAAAAGACGAGTAAGACAGGAAAGGGATAATAAGAGAGACAGGGAGAAGATACGGTGACAGTGTGTGAGGAGATAGTAAGGGAGGTGTCAGGTGAGGAGACACAGTAAGGTGTGTGGTGTCAGGCTGAGCGTCACCCCCTGCCTGGTCCTCGGCCCTGGCTAACGGGTCACCTACACCTGGCAGCAGGAGCCTTCCTCGGTAGGGTCCACGACCTCCATCCTTCCCACCCACCAACAATGTTCACACACACTTCACCCACACAAAACCCCACAAAAATGCATTGCTATCAGAGGAGCAGACATGTGCTAGCTGACAGTGGAGCTAGTGTCCCTGGGGCTGTAAGAGGCAAGGCTGTGTGGGTGCCAAATTAAATGTTTCCTAATCCCAGGTATTTACATCGTGAAGATCCTCGCGTATAAATGTGACGATTCATTGGAAAAAGGTGTTAAGCTGCACTACAGTAATTACAGAGCTACAGCAATGTTTGGCAAAAAAAAGAGAAAGGGTGAAACAAGAGCGCTCGGAGTAGAAACATAAGGGAAGGCCAGCCAGGAGGCAGCGAGTGTGACCACAAGTGGGTCCGCCCGCACTTGAACAGTAACACCAACTGACAGGTTAGAAGCTCACTTGTGCGCTCAGGTGTGGCGCCCTCCTCACTCCATCCAGTTTGACAGCTACAGCGATATACATGACACCACCCTTCTCTGTTTACCATATGCGTAATAGGACCCCCAATTTCAAGATTGATGTTAACACAATTGAAGGCTGACCCATCGTCACAGCCACACTAAGTGTATGAGGCAGTCCCCTCCCCCCTCTCTCCAGCGTCCTCACAAGCCTGAGGGTGGCCGCCCCCGCTAACACACCCCACGTGAAGAGAGAGTCGCCATCAGGAGAACGGGAGGAGAGTGCTGGGGGAAAGGCTGCCTCAGGTGACAATGGGTTCACGAGCGCCGAAATCAAGATGGTGCGGTAGGAGGTCGTCTGGACATCCGGCCTGGAAACAAAGATGGGAAACAACTACGAAGGTTTGGCAACTGTTGACGCAAACCAAGGATGTGATGAGACGACCAAAGACTAAACACTGAAAAGTAAACACGTGAAGGAGAACAACGACGCGATAATGTGGTGGTTAAACAAGAGGCAACAGATAGGCTACAAGCTGTCTTCATTTAAAGGTGTGCTTACAAATGAAAACTGTATATTACACACACACAAGAATGAGAACACTGAGCCAAGCCACACACAACCTCGTGGTTACTCATGTAAATGGTTTAAGAATAATTAAAATATAATAACTATTTTGTATAATGTAAGAAAACAAATGGTGTTAATCAGTTGCTACTGTTCCGGGGGTGGTGTGCCATGACTCCATCAAGTTCCGTTGCCAGGTTTACCTTCTTAACAGCCATGGCACTATCACAGAGGCACCACCGTAACAACCTCCCCAGCAACAGCATAACTGAGCTAAAACCCTGACCCACAGGAACCAATGTGTGTGTGTGTGTTTACCTTTGCCGCTATCAAGTTGGTTGTTATTTAGGACATCACTATTGGTGCTGCTGGTGGCGAAATGGTGACGATGCGGGTAGGGCTGAAGGCGACGGCGGAGCACGTCATCAAGACCATACTCGTCGTCTTCTTCCTCCTCCTCCAGCGTCCCTAAGTCTCCGCCAGGTTCTTCTGCTGTTCTGTGCACCCCCATGGTGAGTTCTTGTTGTCAGGATGGTGGTGGTAAGGAGGGACGGCCGAAAGAGCTTATAGCCTGTTGCTTGTCTCCCAGCAGCTGGATGATAGTGGCGGTTATGGTGAAGAAGTCTTCCACGGAGGTATAAGTGTTGCCCGAACCGTCAGTAAGCCCCCTGACAGTAGCAGTAACAGCTGTGGCAGTAGTGGAGGTGGCAGAGGATGTCTGGGTGGGTCATCAAACACTCTCACCACGAGAACACCAGACTTGGCCACCACTGCGCCAGGCACCTCCTACACTGTCTGTCTTGCCGCTCGGTTGAGTCTCGGCCCCACCACTACCTTCTTGAAGGGATCTAGATTGCAACCTTCACTGTCGAGGAACTTTTATAAGTTGCAGAGGAAAGTGCCTCAATTATTCTGTCTTTATTTAGTGTTTAAGTATCAACACTTAACATACTGTATATTCATGCCTGAGTAAAGGAAAAAAAGGTTATAAAATGTTTGTGATGGTCGCACTGCATGTCAATCACACTACTGCCTTGCCAAGGGTGAAGAGTTAAACGTTAAGTCAAACTATTTTGTACCCTCAATTTCACACCTGTGCTCCCTCACCTCACCCCGCCCCATCACGCCAAACAGATTTAAGCTCCTTATTTAGTCACAGATGCTTCTCGAAGTGCTCAAAGTTATCTCAGATAAATACCTGTCACATAGCGATATTAAAGCCCCATTAAGAGAAAGGTCCGCGTACAGGTAAAGGAGTGAGAGTGACCCTGACTGGGGGAGGGGGGCTAACATCATCACCATGACATGACCCTGGCATCTTCCGCCCCAAGCTCGCTACAGTAGTCCTCCTACACGATTCTACAGCTAGTATATCCTAGGTGTGAGTGATGAGGAAGCGTGAGTGATGAGGGAGGGGAGCCATATGTCACGCGTGGGTCGCTGTGTAACTGTACGTGATCCGTTGTCTGCCGCCCGCACAAGGAACTGTGCCGAGAAAGTGGGTCATCTGCGAGCAGCGGCGCCCGTCCACCGTTGCTCGCAGGGCTGCCACGAGCACCCGGCCTTCACTTTTTCCCACCACCCACTCTTTGCCTTTCAACTACCCGTATCCGCTACTCGTGTAGCTCACACCCTAACCTGCCTCTTTTGTTCCTAACTGAAACTGTAAGTAAGGTGTGATGTAGAATATATGTATTTATAGAGAGAAACACAAAACACGCCAGCTATGTGAGAGGACTTGGTAGTGGTGGTGAGGTGTGGGCCGTCAGTCGCCTTGCTGGCTGCTAGTGCTGCTGCCTCCCGCACCCCCTCAGCCCATCACCACTCTCTCCTCTTGCACAACCTCACGCCTGCCCAATTATCTCAGACTACATTTCTCTAAATTTCTGCCTATTTACGACTGTTCTTGGTACCTTATACCTATCCGTTCACTGTAGCTGCAATATCGACACACCTGGCAACTTTGAGCAATAGGGAAATGGAACCTACACAAGGCCGTATGTTGAGCAATTCACTCTCACCCTTGGCGTGCCCTGTAATATAAATGGGTGTCTATCTACTGATATAGTTTCCTAGCAGACGTCTCATCTCCTGCATTGCAGTTCTCGTACTGATTTTCCATTCAGCGATGAGCACTCCAATATTTTCCTTCATGGGCACTAGGTGTTCGTGTTAGTCCTGCACTTGTCCACACAGTACCTTCACATAATAGTTCACACTGTATATTTTCCAACAAAAATTAATTAGATGTTTTTCCACCACGAGAAAAGTCTGCTACCGTCAACATGCATGCCACGTCTGCACTCGCCATTTGGTGTTCAGCTTGCACCAGGCTCTCTTCCTTCTCTCTCCCATTCGCTGGGCCACTCAGAGAGCTTCCCGGTGTCTTCTTATCCTATATTTCCACTCACAAATATCGTAACTCAAAATAATCCACTGACACAGCACGTACATTGAGGTATACTGAGCCGTATGGAAGGCTGTGAGTTCGCGCACAAGTACCACGGAGCGATCAGCTGACTACTGACTGAAACAGCTGAGTGTCACAACACGACCACCTGATACGGCACGCAGTTGCCAACTCGCACATTTTCTCCAGGGACAAACTGCACTCGTGGGTGGCAGCGGTCGACTTTAGCGCCATATTGTTATGATTGTCAGTTTTATTTACGTTTCTAAATTCTGGTAGTTTATGATTATTAATACTAGAATGCTGACGTAACCCGGGATTTGATAAGCATAAAAAATAAACATTGTCTGAGTTGCTACTGGTGTAGTAATACCGAGGTTAAAGCTGAGATGTGCACGGAAAATGTTCTCAGATTTATAGCAATTACTCTTACAATATCTCAAAAATATATTGTATCGCCTGCCTAATTACTTTCTGTCCTTCTCTTGTTTTGTCTTCATTTCTTCCCTTTCATAGTTAACGAGGAAAGCATTTAGTTTATTCCCAGCATCAAAAACACTTAAGAGCAACAAATTCTATTTTAGTTGTAGTGATAATCCATCCAAGGATAACAGATGAGTGTGTGTAAGAGGGGCCTAAGTGACAGTTGTGACGGGGGATACCATTGTTTACACACCCGCAGGAACAACACACCTAAGAAAAAGTGAGATTGGAAAGTCTTTGTTAATTAACCACACTACCATGTATCACACCTCACCAACATACTTTGTATATAATGTACACCCATCTCTCATATTGCTAAATAATCAATATTTCATGGCGTATGTGCGTGCGTCAGATCTTCACTGATGTAGTTACATAATAATATATCGATTACATAATCAGTCTCCTGGACGACACAGCCAACAAATCATAGCCAGCAGCCCTCATGGACGCCGTGTGGGAAACACTCCTCGCCAGAACGAGTGATGGTAAAATCGGCGTCTACGGTACACCTGTGCCAGACCGTCGACGTGCTCTCCACTTTACTTTCACTCGGACTGTTAGGTCCTGCTGGAGAAAGCCTCCCACACCTCTTACTAATGCATTACTCCCATCACCCTCCTTCCGTTCACAACAAAAATTTAGGCAGTATTTATTTATCTCAAAAGTCAACTCATCTTGGGTACGAACGCTGTGACAAGAAATCAGTGGTCGGTTTGCTCGAGTGTTGTGATATCTCGGCATCATAAGTAAATAATTTTTATCACACAGATCCAGGTCAAGATACATCAGAAGCTTTTCCATATTTGGTTCACTGGAGCAACACGAGTTTAGTTATAAGCGCTACTGAAAATGATAACGTTTTAAATAAGTATATCATGTCGGTCAACAGAAAACCGCTATTCATACATTTAGAAAACGTTGCCAAGTTTCTGGGTGTCTTCTAGAGTTAAATATTATGAGGTGCGTGAAAGTGTGTTTCTAACAACAACCTTGGTGATATGAACGCCATCAAACTGTACATTCCATGATATTAATAATTCTATGGTGAAAGGAATGTCGGGATGTAAAGGCAAGCTGGAAACTATACCGTATGTAGTTATTACCGCGTACGTAAAGATCCCAACGAAAATAAGTGCGTGGCGGCTAGCTTGAACTATTTACCACTGTTTGTACAGTTTACCTGCATTGTCTATGTACACGCTGAACCAAAGTGAACTTGTATGACAATTCTATTGAATAAATGTCTATCTATATATCCAGAACTGGTGCCACTATTGCCAACTGAGTGAAAAACCTTGAGGATCGCACTGAGCTGATGCAATGAACGTATCGTGCATGAACGAACGTAGCTGACCTAGATATACACACATCAAGGCGTAGCTGACCCACTTGTTTCTTACTGTTGTATATACATGATCCTTTAGTGTAACAATGGCTGGTTGTACACTGTTGTATATACGTACATGATAGTATGGCGTACCAAACATGAACAAATTGTACACAGTTATATGTACAAGATACTATATAGTGTGTGTGTGTGTGTGTGTGTGTGTGTACTTGAGAGAGGTAAGTTAGTTCAGTTACGTCACGAGAGGAACATCCAGTGCGTCAAACACACTCGTCAGGTATCTTAATGATGCAAACACTTTGTTCCCCAGAGCCAAGTCTGTGTTCTCTCTTCCCTGTGCAGCCTCCCTCCCTACTCGTGTTGACCTCCCTCCCTACTCGTGTTGACCTCCCTCCCTACTCGTGTTGACCTCCCTCCCTACTCGTGTTGACCTCCCTCCCTGCTTGACTCAGTCACTTCACCACTTAACTACTAACACACAAACACTCTGTATACCTGAGAGGCTTTACTGAACGTGATAAAACTGTGCTCAGCAATACACTGTCTGTGACATAAACGTTATATTTCTTAATACTGAGAATAATCTTAAAACAAAGCACAAAACAAAAGTATAGCTTAGAACTTTTACTTTACCAAGTAAATAATTAATTTAGGTGTTTTTCGTTTTTCAGAGATGGTAATAAACTCCGTCACCATAAGCATAATTATTTTAATGCCACCTTTTGTAGGACGGCTTGCTCTAGGAATACAAATGCACAAGTTGATGTGGCAGCCCAGAAATTTTAACCCCAAACTCATAAGAAACAACCTAGTGATGTGAGAACTCACACACAATATAACACCTTACATACAGAGTTTGTCATTATTGAACAAGTTATAATAATTTTAACGGTATAACCAATTGTAAAAATAAGAGTTATGTGTGTTTGTGTGTGTCTGTGTGTGTGTAAACCAAAAGAAAACTAAATGAGGTTATTTACTCCCCACGTAACTTAAACCCAAGAGTGAAGATTATTTTTCTCCCTCGATTTTATCTTAATCAAATGAATATAAAAAACGGCAAAACTCTGGTGAAATCTGGAGAGTTTCACTGTGTTGTTTACCGTCACCCACACTACTTCAGGTTAGCAGAGGTCAGGAGTTGGTTTGGGATCTTCCTGGTCAGCTACTGTGGCCAGGTAACTGTAGTTGACCACACAAACAGACATTTAACTGTTGAAAATTTACGTCACTGGGGTATTTCACCTCCACAGTTCACAGACAGACAGACACACAGCGTAGAAGACATGACCTGTTTTTTTATTGTCTGTTTCTGCATCTCTCCAATTAAGTTTTGTTTACACCTTTCCACGAGGTGTTGGGCAGGTAGGTGGAGGGTAATACGACTATTAATTAACTCCCTATATGGCACGTGTTTCGTAGCTCCATTTATAGTGTACAATGAGTCTGGTTATCAGTTTATTTTTCTTTATATTGTTATTGTTGTCTTTGTTGATGCTATTATCGTTGTTATTATTGTTGTTATGTATTGTTGTTGATATTATTATTATTGTTGTTGTTTTGTTGTTGACGTTGTTATTATTGTTGTTGATATTATTATTATTGTTGTTGTTTTGTTGTTTTATTATTGTTGTTGATGTTATTATTGTTGTTGTTTTGTTGTTAATATTATTATTGTTGTTGTTTTGTTGTTGATGTTGTTATTATTGTTGTTGATATTATTATTATTGTTGTTGTTTTGTTGTTTTATTATTGTTGTTGATGTTATTATTGTTGTTGTTTTGTTGTTAGTTATTATTGTTGTTGTTGTTGTTTTGTTCTTAATGTTGTTATTATTATTGTAGTTATTGTCATTATTATTACTGGCACAGTTTGCTAACTCGTGATACTAGACTATCGAGATTGTACAGTAATATAATAATCTCTGCCTTCCATCTGAGATTCCCAGCCTGTAGCGGAACTGACACCATCCTCCCCAGCCCGCCCCCCCTCTCTCTACCCACCCTTCCACCCTCCCTCTCCCTTACCCACACCTCTCCACTCACAAACAACACCTCGTCACTTCACTACCAGGGAGCCAAGGCCATCACTAGCTACCACTACTGAGGACCAACTCTTGAAAACATCCCGGGTGATAAGTTGGTGTGTACACTCTCGTCCACTACCTGACATAAAGGTGTTTATTAACGGGATAATGGCAATAGTATAATGGTTCTTTTAACAGGTAAACACGGCAGGTAAATGATTAGACAAGTGTCGTTTTTGTTAGAGACTGAAGATATTAAAAAAAACAGTTAATGTAATGTGTCAAAGAGTTCTACAGTGTTAGTCCAAGATATAAATGAACTTTGAAAGGTAAAGAGGCTCAGCAGAATAGTCTTGAGTCTTCGCAGATGCTCTTGTTGGTCGACTGGGTGTGGTGGTGGTGGTGACACTAGCTCGTCACAACACTGACCGTGCATGTTGGTAAGAGATTTTTTTTAGATTGCCCCGGAGGGGGCTAGTTTATTGGGCACCCCCTTACATCCTGTGCAAGGTGAAGCGCAGAAGCGTTTACAGCGCCCAACTGGGAAGCGCCCCAACACCACACACAGCCTGACCTGACATCAGGGCTTCACCTCACCTGAAGGCTGGAGTACACCTGCATCGCCCCAAGCTAATGTCCTGGCCAGCCAACATTTCAAGGGAGCGGCTAAATTAATCGTACTTTCCTACTGTATCGTACTACATGCTCTGCTACCAGCTCATCCCTATCCCCTCTCCTGGATATTGGACACGCTTGATTCTACTGTAAACGATTAGGATTATCATGGTTGCCACACTAAAGTTTAATCCACCACTAATAACCACTGTTGCCAACTCAAACCTTACCTCAAACTGCTATGGATGTCCCCGTAAATCATATTGATTATATGTTATAAAAATATATATATCAGAGGAACAGTAGTGTGTGTGTGTGTGTGTGTGTGTGTGTGTGTGTGTGTGTGTGTGTGTGTAGCACAGACAGGTAGACAGACACACCACCTCCAACAGTGAAGTGCACAACCCTCCACTTTATACCGTTTATCAGACTACAATTATAAAGTTTTACAGACTAAGAAAATATATTGAGTTACTGCATATGTGTGTCATCTGATTAACTCCAGAGATAAGGCAACGGTAGACAGTTATCATCTACCAATTATTTATCCTGGGTGATAATAATACGTGTAGATAGATAGATACATAAATAGATATAGATATATAGACAGTGAAATAGATACAGACAGAAAGACACCGACATATACTGTATAAAGATAGACAGATATTCAGTAAAATCACCATACAAGTTCACACAGACAGTACATG